GGGGGGGGCAACGTTAAATACTTATCAATTTGCAAAAAAGAAAATAAAGTATGACAATATAGGAAATAAACCATGGAACATCACAACAAAATTAATTCGTTAATAGATAATGGAAATGCGAAAACAATTTCTAATCTAATAACTTAAAATCCCGTGATCTTTGATGAAACGAAACACTAAAAAGGCGGTCGTAATTGAAAGGCAAACAACATGGCAACTACACAAACTAATGTGGTTCAATGCCACGGAGTCAGGTGGTCACGCATAGATATGCCAGTCTCAGAATGTGACCTCATGATGTTGCCTTTTCATTCGTGTTGTGTTCAATCCCCGCCTCTAGGTTGTGGAATACCGAGAATTTTATGAGAAACAATGCTAAATTGTGCGTATTTCATACCTGATTGAAATTACAAAATGGCGTTAGAGAAGCAATGAAACTGAATATATTCTCCTGCGCGATTTCCCTATGAAGTCTGTCTTTTGGATAGCGCTCCATGAGCTCCAATTGAGTAACAGGGATGTCCATGTATGGCTGTTCAAATGTTCCAATCATTTCAATCTCCGGATTGTCCCAGTTGTGCCCACCGGTACGAACGTAACTGTAGACCGGTCGTAGAAGACGTGAAGCCCCGACAAAGAGATAGAGACCAGGATATTGACTCGCTGTGTTGGTGGGAGGTGCCAAACATATCTCGAGGTTTGAGGGAACTATGGTGCAAGTCTCATCTAATTTGGCGGCACGCAGAGTGTGAGCGAGTTCCATCGCGGATGCTCCAGAGGGTGACCAACCAATTAGGCGGCCATCCAGAAGGACTGGGAAAATTCTACAATACTCTTCTTCGCCCATCAACTGTTGAGGGAGCTCTACTGGCCGAACATAGTGCTCTCGAAGCCATTTCGCAAGGTCGTCTACAATGGAATCACTTGGCGTTTCTGTAACCACCTAAAATAAATAAGAAAGAACTGAACTATTTGCGCCAAAAATATGTACATATAATGCCGTACCCCGGATTGCAATGACAGGCCACTTAATAAAATTCCTACGAGAGAAGATGGCATGAGTTTGATTAACTGTCTAGAACATAGTACTAAGCATTTTCCTATATGTCCATTCAATAAAATAGTAAAAAGATAAAAAACAAATACTGATCTACGTTATGCTGTCTACCTCTAATCACGTATAAGAAATAAATACGGTAAAATCAGATATTTCTGAAAGTACCAAAAGCTGCGTTCAACAGTTAAAAGGAAGATGAAAGGAGAGGATATGAGAAGAGAACATGGTGACTAAAACATGACAAACCTCAGTATTTGTAGCCAAGTGGTTAAGAAGACCACAAGGCGACCCATCAGGTGTATTGACAGGGCAAATAAACCCATATGCTTCGGGTTGAAGACGTCGCACTGATGTAGTTTTCATTTCCATGAACACAGAACCACGGTGAACTGCCCGAAATTGAGCAGCAAAGCGCAGAAAATTGATGTTATCCACGGTAACTGAAAGGCCCGTAGATTGGCCATTCAAGAGACGACCTAACACGGCTTTTGAGGTACCCGGCAGGTTACCAGTCATTATGAAAGTTGTCATACTGCTAGTAACCTCGGCATAGGTACGATTCAAGGATTGGCGAAAGTTGGCTGCAATGTGCGATCACATATGAAATTAGATAGCAATCAAGATATATGAAAAAAACAGTATAGCAATGACTACCATATTCAGGAGGTTTGGCTGCTCTCCTAGCCATCATGCTAATCTGCTCACGAGCTGAATGCAGAAATGTGATAAGACGATTCTGAAAAGAAAATTGTATCAATTATCGAATGAATACACTGCTTTGAAAGCGCATAATAGTTAATTTCTAATAACGAAATGTCAAATGAACCTAAGACAAAATTTCCGTCTACGTGATTTCACGAGCACTATACCCACTTCGAACTTGCGATTTAACATATGCCCTTTCAGCCGTTTCGCATCGATTCCCTTGGACAACTGAAGGCATCAACATTTTAGACTCTCTTAGTAGAAACTTCGAACAATCTTTCAATTAAATTACAGTGAAGGCATTGGCATTTAGTAGATAAAACACGGTGTCTTTCCATAGAAAATAAAAACAACAACCATTATGAAATCAACACGTATGACGCTCCAGGAAGTCTCAGATTACTTAGTAAATAAAACTTAGAGATAGCTCACTACTTTACTAATATTTCATTTGAATTAAAGTATTTCGAGCCAATGACAATGATTAACTAGCAACAAAGGTGAAAAACATACTCTCAAAAGCTGTAAATATTGAGTACCAGGAAGAAGAACCTCTTGGAACATCAAGTTATCATTGTTTTCAATGCAACAGTCACCCGAAGCAAAAGTGTGGAGCTTGCGAATCATGAAACTGCAAAAAGTGAACAGAATTCGTTGTTATACGAAAGAGACAAAATTATTATAAACAATTTTGTGTATACCACTTAACGTACCAGAGAATATGATACTTTTCGAAGAAGCTTTTAGTGTGAATAAGAACATATTCACTAAAGGGAAAGGAGAGGTTAAAGCTTTAAAAAATAATGAAAATAATACAATTTAGCATGCGCACTTACGTAAGTAAGTGTTTACCGGCTTCAAGATCACTAAGACGTTTGGAGATATGCATCTTCAATCGGAAGTGTCTACCAATGTGTCTTAGCGTACGAGCCTGACTAAAGTAGTCCTCATTCTTATATCGGCTCACGATTCGTAATGCACATCTAAACAAAGGCAGAATTAGATCGTAAAAAGGATAAATAATACTACTCTTCGAGAGAGAGAGAATTTCTTCCACCACGAATAATATCCTCGTATACTTCAAAGTCAGTTTTATCAACAAGAGCCCGAAGCAGAATAGAGACTGGAACGAATACCTGCTCATTCTCAACAGTGAAAGCTAACACCGGTTCACCATTCGTGACCCAATGAAGCATAACAGGCTAAAAAAGGAACAAACAAATTAGTACAAGGGACTCGGTTAACTGACTAAGCCCTTTAGAATCAGGAAACTTACTGCACCGTTTTCATCTTCTCGAACACAACGCATGATTATACAATGTTCGGTAAAACCGGAACCTCGTTTTTTAAATGTTGTCCTTGAAACGGCAATAGGCTAAGAAAATGAAATGGAAATGTGACATACAAAATTACGACGAGCCATGATTATCATTCGAAGAACTTTTTCATTGCCATTAACGATAAAGTAGCCCCCTATTTCGCGGGCTTCTTCATTAACTTTATAAAGCTCTGATCGAGGCAATTTGGAAAGATTGCACAAATCGGACATGACCATAACAGGAACCGTACCTCCCGCAACGTCAACTACCCCGAGATCAACAGTATGGCTTCGAATTCTTATTGATATTTTTAGAGTACCAGAATAGGACTCTCCATTTCTTCGACACTAGGCAATAAGAAATTTAAATAGCACCTACTTCGTGAGGGTAAATCAATTTGGATTTGAAATTCAGATCCATTGGTTGACATATATCTAAATGCTAAAAGAATAAGACAATAACATTGGAACTAACCTCAATGCTTAGTGAATATTCTCTATCACCAACACTAAAATATACAGGATGCAAATACTGAGGAAGTTAATTTAACGAAAGAAATAACCTCAATCATTCTTTTTAATCCGTCCCGAACCATAAAATTAAACGAATCTATATGTGCACGAGATAATCGTTGCATTTTTTCATTTTCGACACTTTTGGTTGAAGTACTCATTAAGACCGGTTGCACGCGACCGAGAGAATTCAAAATAATGCCAAAAGAGCAAGTGATTTATACAAGATAATTTAATTGCTAAACTTTGAATAAGCAAAGCTTTATAGGAAAAAAGAGGTAAATTGCTTTTCTAATTATGATATTTTATAAGGTAAAAGTCCACAGTATAAATCGTTTTAAATATTAAAATAGTAAGTTAACAAACAAGAATAAAACTATATTGAAAATTAATAATTAAAAAAAATATTTCAATTTTCTCCCCTTGAGATTGATAATTTGACTTTTGATCGATTGTTTGACCCATTTGTATAAATTACACAAGCTTTAATTCTTTACTTTTGTCATTATTAGCTATGTCATCTGCAAGCACAAGTGGATTTGATCAGTATATGACAATATTTTCTCCTGAAGGGAGATTATTTCAAGTTGGTATGTGTATACTTTCTTATTTTACTTGCTAGAGTACACTTTTAAGGCAATCAGTCTCGATGGGCTAACCTCAGTCGGTATACGAGGAGAAGATTGTGCTGTTGTTGCTTGCCAGTGCAAATTACCAGATAAATTAATCGAGCGGGAATCCGTTTCTCGTCTTTTTTCACTAACTCCACATACTGGATGTCTTATGACAGGGATGATGCCGGATTGTCGGGCTCAGGTCCATCGCGCTCGTGCTGAAGCAGCCCATTTCAAATACAAATTTGGGTATGTTCTCATTTTTCAAATTATTTCAAAGCTACGAAATGCCATGCGATGTCCTCTTAAAGCGAATCGGTGAAATAAATCAAGTATATACTCAATCGGCTGAAATGCGTCCTCTCGGATGTTCTATGATGGCTATCTCCTATGATGAAGAACTTGATTGTGCACAGTTGTATAAAACTGATCCCAGTGGTTTTGTTTCTGGCCATAAAGCCACTGCCATTGGTACCAAGCAAATGGAAGCGAAGAACTACTTGGAAAAGAAGGTATAGTGATCAAGCTAGTATTAATTAATAAACATGTTCGATTCTTTACCATTTTTATTACTTTCAGTTCAGAAAACATCAAAGCTACACGTTTGACGATGCTGTCGAAGCGGCTATCAGTTGTCTATCGCATGTTCTTGCTCTTGAATTTAAGGCTACAGAACTCGAAATTGGAGTTGTCTCTAAGATTGACCCCGTTTTCAGGTTTGTTTAGCATTTTTTGCTACAAATGCGCTTATCATTTATAATGTGTCTAATACATTGTTCTTCTATAGAGCTCTGACCGTTGAAGAAATTGATCGTCATCTTACAAGAATAGCAGAAAAGGATTAGGCTGTAATAAATTTACTACTGTTTTTGCCAACAGTTCTGTCCTTTTTGCCCGTAAAAAAGAAGTCTTGTTTTTTTACTAAAAGGGTTGTCTATTTTCCTAATAGTGAAGTGGTAGAATTTCATCTGTATGATAAACAGAAGAGTACAGTGTATCGAAGCAGTAAGAGATCACATTGTCATATAAAACACGATATCTTAGAGCTACAAAGCGGAAATTTACAATCTGGATGGGAATCCAGCTTATGCTTTCCGATAACCAGAGGATTGGGCCGTTGGTATGTAGTTTATGGAAGCATTCGTAGAAATCCCTCCTTTCAAAGATACTTTGGCAACAGTAGAACAACAAAATATAGAGAGGCGAGAAAATAAGACTGTCATAGGCCAATTTCTTTGCAATCGCGATAGCTGATGTTCCTATGGCAACATTGTCAAGGAAGATGTACCAATAGTGCACAGCCGGCGCTAAGACTATCGAGGTTGCTGTGAATGCACACACTCGATCCCATTCAATTTGAAACTTCTCATCTGAAAGGAAAAAAAGAGTAACTAACCAGACATACATTTAAAAGTTATTTTGGGAGGACTTACGGTCTCGGCAAATGTATTGAGAGGTGACATCGGCAACGAAACTCGTGCCTCCACATAGAAAGACATTGGATATTAGCCATTTATGTCTCAAAAGAGTTTGGCCTTTTAGAAAAAGTGAGTTGGACGCCTGAAAATTTTTAATTGCTGATAAACACTGAAGAAATATTTTTGAGCCCATTTTCAATGCTCAGAGCAATTAACGACCACTATATAATAAATCAAAACAAATTACGTTATTACACTTAACAATGGGGTAAGTTAGAAAAAGTAGCACACATAGGAATAAGATATGAGAATTACTTCGATTACACTCTTGATCGAACAAGTAACTAATTAATCTGTTTAAGCATAACGGCTAGCCCAGGTTTCACATATCTGCAGTTATCCGCTGCATTCTGTTCCAAATGAAAGCCCATTCAACCGAATATATGTTTAATTAAGTTGGAATTAGCATCACGGCATATACAAAATTGTGAATCTCCCACCAAGAGGTCAGATAAACCACTACAGAATTATTTATTATATCTACTTATTAAGATCCCGCTAAAACATTCATATGTTGAGTAAATAAAATCTCCGTAGTAAATAATACTCACCCAGGGTCGACCGCAGCTGAGAGTGAAATGTAAGGTTAAACGGGGGTTTTATTTTTCAGGGTTAACGAAATAGATTATTATTTCATTGCACTCAGCCAGCATTAATCTATATGAGAAAACTAATTTACAGGAAAATTTTTATCTTTGTAAAATTAAGGTTTAGGTCATTTTTAAAAATCCGAATTTTTAAATTAGAAGCACTGGGTAAGGTATACATTAATTTTCTATTTTTTAACGTTCTTGGCCTGGGGTGTGCGATAGACTTACCTCCACGTGGTGCATCCTGGGCAACGTATATTCATACGGCAAAAAAGTCTATTAACTGGCAGTTGACTTCTCACTTCAAACTACCATCACCCCACCGTATATCATATTCGACTATTTTTACAGTACTCACCTCACCTTTGTTCTACCTTTGTGTTTGTCTCTTACATCTTTGAAACACTTCTGTCCCCCCCCCCTCGAATTTTTTTCAATTTGATGTTCCTTCCCCTCTGTGAAGTCTGAAGTCAACTAAAGGGCTAATGATAAATATCATAAAGCCTGCCATTTGCTATAAATAAATAAATGTTCTTGGCCTTTTTGCATTACTTGAGTGCTTTTCTGTGAGTTCTTTATGTCAACTTTTTTAGTAAGCATTAGTCATAGTTTATTATCCAAAAAATTTGAATTTTAATGAGTTTTTACTTATCACTTATAATAACAAAATGATCGTAAAATTAAAACATCATACAATCGACCACCATCATTACAGTTCCCATAAATTTCATGGGCTATATAATACAATATGCAAACATTGCATTCTGTTCTTCAAGATTCATTTACCCATCTCGATGTGATTTATTTTTCCATCATTTTATATTTTACATTTTATTACCATATCTACATGTCAACATAGATTTTTTCTGTCATTTGAGTTATTTCTAGAATTTAGAAGATAGAGGATGTAGTAAATAAGCTATTTAAGAAAACACAAATTCTAAATTTATCAGAAATTGGGAAGCTTGAAAACGAAATTAGAAAGTAAATGTTAAATGATAATTTCAGACATTTCAAGGTAAGAATGGCGTAACAAAATGAAGAAATTAAATTTTGTGTTTCCCTTGCTTATGTATTATATATATAACACTCAGAGAAAGTTAACTTAAAATATCTTCAGGGACGCTAAGATAATCACAGGAATCTAGATTGGATTTAAAACATTTTTGAAACGCTCTTTAATACTGGTGTTATTTTTATCGATGTCACTTAATTGAATTCTGAGGATAGAAGTTGAATCACTTTGTTAAACTCAAATTTAAAGCCAGGTGTGATAGCAGCTGAATCCAATTTTACTCTTTGTTTTGTTAATTTATCAATTATATTCAATTATTTTTGCACTTTTTTCATCGTTGAAACACTGATATTTTGCATATTTTTTTCTATGTTTCTTTACCTAAAAAACATTTGGATTTTGAATTTTTCAACATAATATGGTTGGTTTTTATATTTATTTGAATCATTGTGGATTCAATGTGTAGTTAACTACTGTTGGACAGCGAAAAGGCCGAGAATTATGAAACAGATTGGATTTTTTCACTTGTTAGATGTGGCATTGCGATGAAGCGCCATTAATGTTGCACTTCTGATATAAGGCAATTCGCCATTTCTTCTTCTTACTACTTGTAGACAAATGAACAATAGTCACCCTTCTTTGGGTAGCCATTGATTTTTAAACAAGTAGAGAGTTTGACAACAATAAAGTGGAATGTCGGTTTTTTCTGTACGTGCTGTTTATATAATCTAGTGGAGTTTCTTACATATAAGTGAAATTTAAATCACTAATTTTCTTGGTATTGAGCAAACGACACTTCTCTAGGGTACTTAAAAAGATAGATTGATTTAACTTAATATTATGTGAAACTGAGTGAAAGTACTTGTGATATGTAGATTGCATAAATTACAGAAATTTATGTTTAGATTAAATCCGAGCTGATTCATGCAGGAAATTTCGGCAATAATTACATGAAAGAAGGCAATTCAATGTAATTTTGATCAAAATTAAATTCGTTATGAATTACTTATTTGCATATTTTACATTCGCAGATTGAGTGAAAAGTGGCATTTTCTGCTCTTCTTCCAATTCATAAAGCGGATATGAATTGACGAAGCACAAACCAATATGTGCGAGTGTGTGTGTACGTGTATAAATGATTATTTAAAATTTTTAGTCACTAAATTTGTGCGAATTCCTATTGATATTGAACATCTGATTAAACGCAGTGAGATCAAAAATTTTGCAAACGGAATCCTATAAAATTTCATTAAATGAGCACGGTTCAATCAAATTTTAGCACTTTAAAAAATGTCTAAATTGGTTTCTTTATATGTAATCAACAAATATTTACTTTTTAATATGAAATCAGTTAATAATGATTTTCCCACCTTCCTTCTTATTCTATTACGCTTGCGTCGGTGGGTTAGTATAAATAATACGTAGGCCATAAATACTTAAAATGCTATAGCTGCACAAAAAGGCATATAATTCTAAACGTCCTGCAATATTTTCAAGTTTACAAAGTCATTGAAAAATTCAATTATGATTTTTATCATAACGTTTTGACTTATGAATTTTAGCTTCGCATAGCATTTTCTAGATAAATTAAGACATATAATTTAGTTCAAGGCCTCTCATCTTCCTTTTTTCTTTTTATTTGTTATTGTATTTCACCAGCATAATTATATTATTTATTAAATCAAATTTTTTCTTCTTAAAACTTAAAGAGCAATTCAAGAAAATTTGAAGTAAATGGTCTATGCTTGGCTTAGTGTTATTTGTTTTTCATTGTGTAGTTTGTTTTTAATTCTATCTCATTCTTGATTGGTTAAAGATTCTGAAGGCATTTTTAAAATCTTCTGGCGCGTGTAGTTGCGATAGCCTTGTCAACATGTATTTAATTTGTTTCAATGCTTATTTTTTTCTTAGAGTGGAAAAGTGTAATTCCTCTTTGAAAATGAAATCCAAAGGAAGTATAGCTGAAATTTCAAATGTCGAAGATATGGGTTCTGATTCGTCATCCGAGTCATATTTTCAGTAAATCATTTTAAATTAAATTCTTATTTTGCTACCTTCTGTTTTTTATCTTATGTATGCGTTGATATCTGATATATTCATCAATAGTCGATTTCAATCATTTAAATCAATGTAGAATGGGCGACACTACCAGCGATGATTTTTTCGCATATTGTGAAGCCGAGGATAATTATCATGACGCATCTTCTTATGCTAACGCGTGTGATTCTGATAACGATTCCGAAGCAGTTTCATCCATTCCCTCTCGGAAGTAAGCTTTATTGCATTATTGCCCTATTACATTTGTCAAATTATAATAATACAGAACATTTTTATAGACAACAAAGGGAACGTCGGAAATCGGAAAAAGATCGTTTAAATCGAACTTTATTTGTTGGCAATCTGCCTTCTTGGATCACCAAAAAGGCTCTCCAGAAATTATTCAATGGTGCCCTCAGAGAGTCAGAAATTGATTCTTCAAAATGCAAAGTGGAGTCGGTTCGTATTCGAGGTGGCGTGTCAACCACTGGTGGGAAAAGCAATCAGGCTCTTAAACGGGCTGTTATTCGTCACGAATTTGCGGGTAAGCATTCGGTTTTCTGAAAATTTATATGTAATTACGAGGCAGTTGTCACAGAATATTCATTTGAGCTTTTGGACCTACTTATAACTTATCGTGTTGATGATGCATTAATTATCTGTTATTGCTGTTTGCTGCTGTTCAGTTGGGGTTTGATCAAATATACTTTCTTATTATAGTCTGATGGCGTCAATCACCGATGATCAAAATGGGTAGCAAGGTGGTAGTTGGCAATTTTTTAAGATGAATTTTGGGCTTGTCTTCTTCATGAGATTCTGATAGTCTTTAGATGTAGATCAATGACTTTATCTTTAATTGATGGTCGATTTATTTCTTTAATAAGGGTAGTATTGTGTGCTTGTACGCACAAATTCAACCTCTAGTAAGCTGTAAATGTCAAATATCCCTGGCTTAGTTCCATGATATTTCAAACGATTTTGAGCTGTGATCATAATTTTCTAAAGCATCAATAAATAATAGTAAAATAGCAATAATGGATTTGATATATTCAAGAGTGTCTCCTTTCGACCAGAGTTCACTGCAAATGTCATTTTCCCTTAATTACTAACTAACACATTTTACTGCTCTTATTGGCTATGTTGGAACAAGCGTCAAAACACGCCTATCAATATAATCCACTCAATTAATGTAATGGTTTTTGTCGACATACTGTGCATAAAGGAACTATTTGTTTAGCTGGAGCATCATTTCACATTCTGACGCCTATGTTAATATTTTAAAATGTACTTTCTCTCCTTTTCGTCTTTCGGAATTAAACGGCTTAATTCCTAACCAACCGTTTGGTGTTTTTAGCTGGAGACAAGCATACGCTTATTGGTTTCGTTGTACTCACTTCCAGAGATGGCATTCCTGCTGCTCTAAAGATTAATGGACGTTTTCTTACACCTAAAGACGGTTCTTCAGATACAGGTCGGCATATTCGTGTGGATGTGAGTAATCGCAAGAAATACAACAATCAGAACAGTATTTTTGTCGGAAATCTTCCCTTTTCCGTAAATGAAGAGGAGGTAGAGTATTGAGCTGTGTTTTCTTGTTTACACTATTTCTTCAGTTACTACAATTTTTAACAATAGGTTCGCAACATCTTTTCACAATTTGGAGAGATTAAAGGCGTTAGGTTAATTCGTGACAGGGCTACCGGAGCAGTCAAGGGGATCGGTTTTGTAGAATTTGAGGATCCCAGCTCTGTTCAACTTGCTGTTCGTCAGTCAGCAGTTACGTCAGAAGGTTCGCAGGCATTATGTATTGGTGGCCGTCAAGTGCGTGTTCAAGCTTGGAAATCCATCAAGAAGGCAAAGGAAGGCAAAGGTCAAACTCATCAAAAATTCGCGACCAAACGAGAGAAAAAGAATGCACACACTTCGGCCGTTCGAATTCCAACAAATATACGCGGAGAAGTAGCCAAAAAGGAGTTTATCAAACGGGCATTAAAGAAGAGGTTTGATCGACGGCAGAAAGCTGTGGAACCAAGTGCTGTCGAAGGTGCTAAGAAGGGCAAGAGGGGAGCGAAAAATAAAATGAAAAAGGTGCGTCATAGAGATCGAGCAAAGATGGCTTAGATGAATCTGTATATTTTTTATGTACAAAGAACAATATCTTACTTCAACACACTTTGTTTTGATTTATTGCGGTCTGGGGGGGGGGCGGCGTTATAAATTTTAATAATATTGTGCAAGTGGGTGATTCATAATTGTAGCAAAACGAACTAAAAGTGCTCTTGTGAGGTGTTAGGGGGTTATATTATTTATACTATAATTAAATGGATTAAAATAAATATCTGATGTTCAAAAAATAAAATTATCTTAAGACTCTTTGGTCTGATGCTGAATGTATTTGTTTGTCTTAATCAAAGACATCCCAAACTGGTCGTACCGCTATCTTAAAACCGTGGACTACTTACAACAATTTCCCTTACTGGCTTGCTCCAAGAAGATAAACAAAGCTGAAGCTATTAAATCCAGTATATAATATACCAAACGATGGTCGTAGAATCTGACTATTTTTGCACAATTCGAAGCAAACTTAATGCATTAGGCTATACTGAGCATTTCGGAGAGGATAGTTTATCACTTGTGGAGAAGTTATTGCATGATTTAATTCTTACAACTCATGGACTACATGAAGCAAAACGCATTTCGTCGTGTTCAAGTTATTCAGATCTCGGAAACATGGGCAAGACGCAAACGGATGTAAAGGTTGATTTTAAAACTGCATGTCCAAATGCTCCACGGAGGGTATCAGAATTATCAACTGAACTTGAAGCATATGGTCTGTAGACTATCTTACTTTTATTTTTAACCTGCTTGTTAAATGCCTTAAATGTGAATGTCTTTGAATTAAGGTCATTCTATATCTCAATTTAATTCGGACAAGGTAAAAGGTTTGAAGGTTTATATTTATAATTCTTGGTTTGAAATTATTTTGTCGACTTATTTACCTTTTAGTTGCCTGTAACAAATCTCCCTAACAAGCTTTCTGTTCACGAAAATGATCTTCAATCAAGCATTATGCTACTACAGGTTGAGAAGGAACTTATGGATAAGAAGACAGAAGCTTTCAAAAAACAGGTATCTTTTAGCATGTTTACATGTTATTTTTTTGCGAGTGTTCCCATACAAACAATGACTTTTTACTTTACCATGTTTTGCCCTAATCTCGTTCATTCGGGATTTATGCTTTTAACGACGGCTTTCGACCTTGCTGCCCTTTATTTAATTTTTAATATACCAGGGGATAGAAGTGAATCAAAATATATGTTGTAATCATTCTAAAATATGTTGAAAATTTTAGATTGAGAACCAAGAGGAAGAAATTGAGAGATTACGCGGACTCCTAGATAACCGGGAGCATAATATTGATAACAATAATCTTCAAGATGCACAGAGGCGCGATCTTTTGTCAATAATCGGACGCCTGCAGTCAAACGTGGATAGCCTTCAAACACGTAATAGTGAACTTGAGCAGCGCCTTCTACTTCAAATGGAGGCTTCTAGCAGTGATTCGGCTGTGGGCACTTCATCGTCCAATATATTATCTGCTCGAGAACGTCCCACTCAAACCGGTGTTCGTATTGGAGATTCTTCGGTAGTGTCAATTAAAATGCATTAATGGTCTTATCTCCTTTATCTCATTTCATATTTCATAAAGATGAACAAGTTTGAGCTAACAGAACTGCTGGATAACTTTGAAAAGGCTAACCGACATTTCGTCAAACGAACTGACGAGCTACTTAACTCTCGTAAGTTGCTGATGTATCACCACTATGCTTAGTTTCATTTTTACTTAGTCTTCATTTTCTTATAATTGGCTCACGTAACAGACTGCTAGTTTGTTAATTTGAAGGAAATCTATTCTTTGCACAGTTTATGATTTAGTTGTGAATATGTCATATTGCTTAATAGAAATGAGAAAATAGTTATTTTCAAATCATTTTCGTATGCTTTTTGAGAGTAACTATTAATTTCCTCTCGTATCACCAGAATATAATTCTTATCAAATCGTTTACCGAATGATGAATTAGTTTTGATCTTTATCTGCTAAGACCGGGGTGTGAGATAGACTTATCTCCACGTGGTCCACCCTGGGCAAACGTATACTCATTTGGCTAAAGGTCTATTGATCGGTAGTTGACTTTTGACTTCTAACTACCATGACCCCACCGTATGTCATATTCCACCACTTCCACAGTGCTCACCTTGCATTTTCACCTGCTAAGACCTGAATATGAAATTTTCATCAATTAGATGCATCGAGCATCGGTAAAGGGAACATACACATGAAGGCGCAAAGATACTTCTAGGCCTAAAGTTCGTGCAATATTTCACATTTAGCCAAAGAGTCAACTATTAATTTCCCATTGTCGTTTCTGTCGATCTACTTGCCAATCGAAAATTCTTTGTGTTCAAGTAACTAAAATATAGTTCACAACAGCTTTGGTGTGATTTAGTTTAGTTAACACTATTGTGCTTTCTCATTTCTAAAACAGAAAAGCAATTGGTTCTTGAGGTTGATCGACTAAATGGCTTGCTTCCATTGAGCAAAAGGACAGCAGGAACCGTCAAACGAAACCCTACTCGACCTGTTGTCAAAAGGACGCCTTCTGATTCGAATACGTTTTCCTCAAAGAACAATTCTGCCGCAAATTCTACAGTGAAAACATTGGAAAATGAATATGCATCACCAATCAAAGAATATATCGAGGTCTGTTCTCCAAAATTTGATGAAATATCAATGCTGAAATGACAAATCTACAAGATTTCTATGAACTCTATGATATAAATAATCAAGTCAACTATTACGTTACATTTTACTAAAATATTACAACTTAAAAAAAACAGGACGAGAATGGTTGTTAATGTAAATTAATTTAAATAGTATTCTTCCAGTGGTGTGAAAGGTAAACCGCGTTGGCTAGTTTTAGTCAAACAGATGGGTGATTGGGAGTAGTTTCTTAATGAATCAGATCCAGGATACCCTTTCTCAAATATAGTGAAAGGTATTCCTCATGAGAATGGGGTATTTTTTCAGATATGTCTCAACGATATCTATGCTAATATTAACCTAAAAAGCTTTCATTCAGGGTCTAATTGCTGATCGGGAAGTGATACAGGCTCAAGTGGAATGCCTGAATCGTACTCTGCGTCGACTAACTGAATCAGATTCTGGCGTTACCGGAGTCAATACCCCCTATCCATCATCCTCATCTAACAATGGAGGTAAGCAGGACTCATCCCGATTGGATAGAAACCAAAATGCCTACACTCAGACATCTGTTCAGGAATCTGCCTTTGTCATTAACGGAGGAGGAGATTATACATCGGAGGTAGGTTTTCGTATTAATTTGAATGTTGCTCAAATGTCTAAATCGATAATCAGAATGCAGACAACAGATGTTTGTCTATATGTTACTTTTTATTTGATTTTCGATATGTACACAAACTCTACTCGTTGTAAATAAACACAGGGCCAAATTTCTTTTCACAGCTAACTCATTCAATTCCCCTTGTAACCCCTCTTTCCTATTTTAATCTCAAATAATTTTTCTCGGGTTTTATCAATGTCGAAACCATAGCTACTTAATTCCTTAATCAGTTCTGTTGAGATTTCGTACTTCTGAGGAAGTAAACAATCCTTTTGTATCAGCAAAGGGGGAGAGAGGGAGGG